CGTTCCCCTGAACCCTGAAGGCAATTTCAAATATGGCGTAACAGTTCATTTCTTTTTTTAAATAAATCTCAGTGAGCATTTATTTAGTTACAAAATGAATGCCACTGAGATACTCATTTGTCATTATTGTCATTATTTATTCTATTTTTAATTAACATTTTTGCATGTTAAGGGCCAAACCAGAAACTGCTCTAACTCATTTGTTTGTGCGTTTTCTGCTCTGTCCAATGGAAATATTGTCCCGTTGTTGAGTGAAGGAATGAAAATATTAAAGTTTTTTTTTTAAATCTGATGTATATCATTGATCGACATTTAAATAAATTTCTCTGAGAAAAAATATGAGGTGTTTTGAGTTACGAGCGTAGTCATGTGACAAATTATAAATTTGTATCTCAGGTCAGCGCTGCATGCCAATGCCGTTTTTATTTCTTTAAACAAACAAAATGAATGCAGTCAAAAATTCATGTCTGCTTCCAGCTGTCCCGTATCGGGAGACATCTTCGTTCCTTTATCTGCCGTGCAAAACCTGTGGCGTCCTCCCAAGGCCTCCTGCAGCTTCATCATCATCTGTAAGGCCATCATCTGCTGCGCAGGCCGCAGCAGGCGGCCGGTCCCGCGGCCTGATGCGTGCAGCTGTTGTGGCGGCCCCAGGAAGTCAATCCGTGTCCTCCCTTGATAGTCACTTCAAAAAGCAAGTCGAAAAGATGCAGAATGCAAACACTGAAGCTTCACCTCGTGACATGAAATTTTGTAGGCCAGTGCTTAATGAGTAGACACACAAAAAAGTTTCAAGAAGCCATGCATGAAAAGACAAGTCTACCATTTTGGTTCAAAACAGCCATTTTAGGCTCATTTCACAAGTTTGTTTAAAGATAAACTTCTGATAGAGATTTTGTCGAATTTTTACAAAATTTCTACCGAATGCGTTAGACGGATTCATGAGAAGAAAAAAAGCATTTTGGTCGAGCCTGGCAACTAAATTTGATGACCATTCATAAAACACAAAAGTCCTCACCTACATGAATGTTTTGAAAATTCAACCCCAAAAGTCATTTAGATGTAGAAACAAAAAATTGGGTTGTCATGTTTATCAGTATTAGACCCACAGAATCTGGCAACCAAATTTGATGACCCATCATAAAACACAAAAGTCCTCACCGACATGAATGTTTTAAAATTCAGCACCAAAAGTCATTTAGATGTAGAAACAAAAAAATGGGTTGTCATGTTTATCAGTATTAGACCCACAGAATGTCTCAAGAAGTGTCCTGAAAAATATGGGGAGTCTGCCATTTTGATTTTAGGCTCATTTTGGCTGTTTCCAGGGGTCCTTCAAAGACAGACTTGTCCAAGGGAGCCAAGGGAGCCAATTGAATCCTTGCAGCTTGAAAGTTTGTCATGTTTCGTCTTGCTCGGTTCATCATCGCATCACACACAGAAATAGTAACAAGGGAATGAGTCCATATCATGAAATGCATCGCCGCTGTATTGATGAGTCATCAAAAAAAAGAAAAAAAGAAGTGCTGTGTTGAGATTTGCTTTGGATGAAATCGATTTCCGCTCAGACTTTGTGCTCGCCTTTGAGCTCCTCAGCAAAAAACACAGCTGCTGCTTTTCTATTAAATCTGAGGCGGCTGGCTGTTTTCTGATATTCCTGCTGTCAAACGCAAAACGCAACTTGTCCGTGCTGTGCTGATGCATTTGTGTAAACAAAGGCGACATTCCAACAAAGCTCCATCAATGTAACCAATTTTAGGATAAGGCTACAGCATCAGAAAATGCAGAAAAAGTGAAACACCGTGAATACTTTCCAGATGTCACGGGTGCATTATTCTCATAGTTTTGCTTTTCAAGACTTTTTGAATTTTGTGGAACAAAATGAATGTAATCCGCTTTGCAGTACGACGAAGTGGCATGTTGAAGTACTTGAGGCTTACTATCAGAAAATGCAGAAAAAGTGAAACACCGTGAATACTTTCCAGATGTCACGGGTGCATTATTCTCAGAGTTTTGCTTTTCAAATTTTTGGAATTTTGTGGAACAAAATGAATGGAATCCGCTTTGCAGTATGACGAAGTGGCATGTTGAAGTACTTGAGGCTTACTGGAGCAGCATCTTCCAGCAAAGTGCCCTTTAAGTGCCCAGCGCGCCCGCCTCCGCCCCCGCGTGCCCCCCTGCGGCCAATTACCAAGCGCAAAGAACTTTAGCTTTCCCTCTGATGGCTTTCACGGCCGCGTCACTAACGAGCTCGGACAGGAAGCAGAGTCAAAGCGGCAGAAAATTTGCCTGAATCGGCCTTCATCTGTCACGGCCGTGACGGGAGGCGGAGGGGTGGGGGGGGGCACCGGCCGGGCCGCTGCCGCTGCGCTCTGCTGTGCCGGCCCCGAGCTGCTCGGCTGAGCTAACGCGCCCCAAAGTTGCTCGACAAACAGCCAGCGTGGGAATTAAAAGTCACCATCTTTTTCCCTGATGAACTCTCTTTGTTGGCCAGAACAAATGAAACGGAATAGAACATTAAATAATGATGTAAATAGACTACGTTGGAGGGCTGGAGACATTAAATATGCAAAGATGCTGCATGTCGGTATAGAAATTAAATGTTACAGCCAGTAATTATGCTTCATTACGTGTATCAATATTACATGTGATAAAGAGGATATATTCAATGTGTATGGAATATTAAATAAGGATGCAATTGTTACTTTTGTATTCGTCCCTTATCTAAACATTCACTATGATTGATGTGTGCATGGCACATTAGAGGTGGATCTGACAATAAACATGATACATTACAGTGGTATCGCTAAATACTATGTCAGTTTGGTGCATTCGAGGTACAGTCATTAAATTGAGGTACATTCAATAAAGCCACTATGCGACTGTAAAGGTTGATATACAATCTTAAATATAATGTTAATGTGCTGCATTGGAAGTAACTTGGTGTTGTCGCTGGTTGTGCAGGACCCCAACCCCTTCCTGGGTCCATCCATGGAGCCGGACACACTTCTCCGTAGCCCCGTGCCGCCCCTGGCCAGCAAAGAGCAGGGTCGCCTGGCATCCTCGGGCCGCAGCCTGGCCCCGCTTCACTTCCCCTCCGAGCTGCTGCCCTTCGACGAGGCTCTGAGGGACGTGTGCGCTATCAAGGCGCTAACGGATGGGGACGCCGTCGCGCGGCATGGCGGACAGCTCTTGGACATCAAAGCGGCTGAGAGGAGAGGTTCACTGACTTGCATTTTAAATGTCGCTTGCGCTATTCCGTTAATGCCCTAGTCTGCTATCTTAATGCTAAGAAATAATGTGAAACATCCCAGTCTGGCTAACGTAACTTAGCAGCAATACATATCGTTTCTCCTCCCATACATTCTATGAGGAGTTTAGTAGGGGACCTTCTCCGCCTCTTCTTCTTCGTCTTAATCGCGCCGCATGTTTTGCATTAGAGTGAATATATGGGGGAGTACTGTTCTACTTTCCTATTGGACTTTGGTGCATCTCACAGCATTTTAGTGACAGAACAAAAATACGCCCAAAATCTGAGAATGAATTTTTTATCACAAAACATATGCTAGATTCCAAAAATGTGTACGAATAGCTGAATAGTGAACGAAGAATATTATCTATGTGCATACATTTTCAAAATAATAGATCATATTGATAATGATGTTATTGTTTACATTGCTGTGTTTGCATTGTTGCTATTTTTTTCCTTGTTGTGTGCAGAGCTGGAGAAGCAGATGAAGATTGAGAACCTGTTTGTGACGTGGCAGCAGCGGTCGGCACAGTCCAACATGCCCATCGCGGTGCGTTCATCTTTGCGTCGGTTGCGGGCATAAGTTGCAGTGCTTCGAGCACAAGAAGTGCACTAGTGACGTCGCCTTTACGAGACACAGTCAAAGCTCTCCAACGCTGTAGCCTTTGAGCAGAAAAGTTGGCTTCTTGTCATTCACATCACTTCTCCTCCTCAGCTGGCTGACTTGGAAACCCTAAAACAGTCGTCCCGCCTGGTCCACTACTGCGCCACGCCGCTGCTCTTTGACCCTCTCTTCCGCAAGCAGATTCAGGAGGAATTAGCTGCTCAGCCGCCCGTCAAGGTATTGGACTGGAGGAAAATGGAGCTTCTAAATTCGGGGTGTCCAAAAAAATCAAGACTGCTGGTCATTTTTTTTCGCAGCTCGCAGCCTGCATATACTAAAAATGACAGTATGCATGACAACGGTATTTAAAAAAATGTTGGCGTGTGTGTGTGTCTGTGTGTTGTGCAGAGGGTGCTTTTTTGATGGGGCCACGTTTTGTGGAAAATATCCTTTTGGGGATTTAAAAAAAAAATTTGCTCTTGGCGGGCAGGATATTTTGCAATCCCTATCGCAGGTGTCCACTGTTTGCACAAAAAAAACAAAACTGCATATAATTGCATGACGGATTGCCTGAAGTATGTTTCGTAAATGAACTATGAAGACTGCTAACATGACCGTTGCATCCTTCCATTTTTCTGTCCACGGCCCCCGTAGAAAAACTTTAGGACAGCTGTGTTGCCGAGCGTCGGGCGCTTAACGCTGTTCACATTGTCTTGCAGAAGCGTCACCGGTCGAACGACTCGACGGCGTCGGGCCGCGACCGCAGCTACAGCAGCGACTCTGGTGACATGCTGCCCGGCCGGCTGAAGGAGGAGCCCTGGCTGCTGGACATCTCCAGCGGCTTTCTGCAGCAGTACGTGCAGTACCTGCAAAGCTTGGGCTTCATCCTGGTGCAGGTGCGCCCGCAGTCGCCCGCTCGCAGGTCTGTATTCGCTCGTGGCGCCCGCCCGCATTGCCTTTTACTGTCACTGTTGGACTGCCATACCAACGACCCGTTGCGTATCCTCATTCCGCTGACCCCACCGCCCGTCCTCCATTTTGTTCGCCAGCATCGCCCGCGCCCGTGCCGCCATGTTGAGCTCCATGTCGTCCGAGGGCAGGATGTCCTTCTCCTACGTCAAGCAGAAGAGCGAAGACAGCCCCAAGGTGAGTCATCGCGACACACCCTGAAATTCCAACAACTGCGTTCATCGTTCACCCCTGATGTGGCACAACAGGCAACATTCTCGGAACGTGTGGTGCATTTCCGATTTTCTTTCCTGAAAATTTGTAATTGAATGTGCTTATTCATTTTTTGTTCTTGTTGCTTCATTTGTGTCATTTTATAATCTGTTGTTAAAATCATCAATTTTGCATCAACATTTTTTGTGTTTGATTTCATTTAATAACTGGTGAATTTCTGATCATTCAATTATAATTATTCACATTACAAAACTTAAGAATTATTTTTTATTACTATAACTATTTTAAAATCATAAAATGACATTGAGCAACAATAATTAAAAAAAAAAACAATTTTATGCATGCACTTAACGTTTTTCTTTTATTAAATAATTATTAACTTAATGGTAATGGAATTGATTTTAATTAATTTCATTAAAATGACCATTAATTATTTTACTGTGGAAAGATTAATTCATTTCAATATACATTTAACATGTTTTTTTCCTTGTTTTTTTAAGACACTTTCTCAGTTAATTCTAATCGAATCAACAAAATTGTTTTTTTTTCCTGCATATAGTAAGAAATTATTATAATTTTATTTAATATTCTGTTGTCCTTTTCGTCAATCCACTCTGCAGACAACTGTGTCCGCCACCACCGCTTACCACCTTCAGAGGGCGCTGCCTGGCGGGATCGTGCTGATGGAGCTGGCTTTTCAGGTACCATTTACAATAAATAAATAAATCACTCACCGGATGCTTCAGTAGGAACACCTTTTGTGAAATGATAAAATGATGCCTTTAAAAAGAGTATTCCTGGTTTTTGCTTATTGAAGTGTTCATTAGAAGTCTCTCCTGCGAATGCTAAGACAACAAAAATATGAGACAACTTCAGAGGGCGCTGCCTGGCGGGATCGTGCTGATGGAGCTGGCTTTTCAGGTACCATTTACAATAAATAAATAAATCACTCACCGGATGCTTCAGTAGGAACACCTTTTGTGAAATGATAAAATGATGCCTTTAAAAAGAGTATTCCTGGTTTTTGCTTATTGAAGTGTTCATTAGAAGTCTCTCCTGCGAATGCTAAGACAACAAAAATATGAGACAAAATATGAGACAGAGTAGTCTGTATGCGGGCTATAAACAATGGGAAGTAAATTTGTAAATGTGTGAAAAAGTACGCTAAAGTGTTTTAATAGTTATTTGTAATTTTGAAACATATTTTTTTGTTGTTGTTGTTTTTCCAGGGTTGCTACTTCTGCGTCAAGCAGTATGCACTGGAGTGTTCTCGGATCCCCATGGGCCAGTCGGTCAACTCACAGGTGGGAATTCCCCCTCACAATACCTAAACACAGCGATTTCACAAAATTTGAATAAAAAGATTTATTTTAAAAAAATACAAATAAAACAGGAACGCAAAAAGGCGATCGATCTTCAGTCTTCACCAGGCGGCTAACCTGTTGCAGACTCAAGATTATTACTTTTGAACTTAACCGTTGCTATTGTTTTTGAAGCTGTAAAAATAAAAAGAGATTTCACGAGGGTTCAGCAAAATTGGACTTGAAATTAAATCATCAGATCCAACAGAATTACCAGTACCGGTACTTTAAAAAAAAAAAAAAAGAGAGAGACTTGCCAGGAAAACAATGACAGGAACTTCTGGGGCTGAACTGCTCCACCAGCCTTGGCGCATCCTGAAGCAGTACAGGGTACAGTGAATTCTCAAGATGAAGCAGTCATTCATGCATCTCGCTCGAAGCTAGCGCTCTCCCCATATGTGCTTCTTTGATTCAACCAATCAGACGCCACTCGCTCACCAAGACATGCATACGGTGCCGTCAGGGGCATCAAGGATTACAGAACGCACCACAACACAATGACCTGAGTGTAACGACAACGACAAACATCAACCGTTTTTGCAACAGCATTGTTTGTCATTTTTCATTGCATGTTTTTAGACATGGTTAAGCAGCATGTGGCTCATTAGAACAATTCAACTTCAATAAGTCCTCAATCCAACATTTTTTACGGCAAGCCTGACACGAGACAGGCTCCATGATGTTGTTGCATCTGTCCATGTGTCTCTGTCTTAACCCCCATACCCTTCCCTCTTCTTACACCCTCATTCACCCCCTTCACACACACACACACACACACACACACACACACACACACACACACACACACACACACTCCCTACGCAGTGTACACTCACTTCAACTCAATTTTGTTTAAAGAGCACTTTAAGAACAACCACAGCGGGGAAAAAAGTACTGTATGTAATATGAATCATACGTAAGATAATTGTCTTCGGGCAGTAGGCGGGGGACAACCTTAACTGGTCACTAGCCGATCACAGAATAGCAAAGTGTTAAAGCAATAAATATAAATAGCACATGAAAGCAAGGCCCATTTAGAAATCCATCCATCCATTCTCTGAACCGCTTTTGAAGACTAAATGAATTCTAGAGTACACAGGCAGCCAATGGCGAGTGGCACAAATGGAGGAATGTGCCCCCTCTTCCATAGTCCAGTTAAGAGGCAAACGGCAGCTTTTTGGACCAACGGGAGACGTTTGAGGGCGGGACCGGCTGCCTCCAAAGTAAACTGCATGACAGTCATCTAGTTGAGGCATACAAGACCGTAACAAGTGACTTCAACATGACATTGTCCCCTTTGCGCAAAGCATCCACCCATTTCTTCACAGCTTGTCCTGTTTAGCGTGACGGGTGAGCCGGGGTCCACGCTGAACTGGTCTGCATAGTCAATTCCAGGGCAAAAATAGTCAGACCGGCATCCTCACTAACCGAACGCAACGCAGCGCCATTAATCTGATGATTACCCCCAGCTTGGTCTGCTCCCTTTCTCCTCATTTCCCACAATGCTCTGCTCGTCGCTTTGGGCTGCGATTGACGCGGGATGAACGAACAAACCTGTGTTCCAGCTCTCCATGCTCTTCACCGAGGAGTGCGACAAGGTGCGCGACTTGATGCACGTGCACTCGTTCAGCTACGACTTCCACCTGCGGGTAGTCCACCAGTACCTGGTGGGCTGCCACATGACGCTGCGCCAGGGCTACCAGCTCACCGACTTCCTCAGAGACTTCATCGTGCAGCACCCCGACATCCCCAAGTTCGGACGCAACCACGTCTTCCAAGGTGGGGATGACGAGCATCCTCATACCTGGCCTTCCATTCATATTGCCTTTGTAGAATATGAGTCAAGCAGCGAAATCCATCTGTTTCTAGCCACCTCAGGGGGCGGCCATTTTGTAACTTGCTGCTCACTGAAAATGACATCACGGTTGCTCAGGGCTCAGATGACGGCCAGTCATGGCTCGCCTATTTTCTGAAGTTCAGCCATGATTGGTAAACAATGGGAAGTAAATTTGTAAATGTGTGAAAAAGTACGCTAAAGTGTTTTAATAGTTATTTGTAATTTTGAAACATATTTTTTTGTTGTTGTTGTTTTTCCAGGGTTGCTACTTCTGCGTCAAGCAGTATGCACTGGAGTGTTCTCGTATCCCCATGGGCCAGTCGGTCAACTCACAGGTGGGAATTCCCCCTCACAATACCTAAACACAGCGATTTCACAAAATTTGAATAAAAAGATTTATTTTCAAAAAATACAAATAAAACAGGAACGCAAAAAGGCGATCGATCTTCAGTCTTCACCAGGCGGCTAACCTGTTGCAGACTCAAGATTATTACTTTTGAACTTAACCGTTGCTATTGTTTTTGAAGCTGTAAAAATAAAAAGAGATTTCACGAGGGTTCAGCAAAATTGGACTTGAAATTAAATCATCAGATCCAACAGAATTACCAGTACCGGTACTTTAAAAAAAAAAAAAAAGAGAGAGACTTGCCAGGAAAACAATGACAGGAACTTCTGGGGCTGAACTGCTCCACCAGCCTTGGCGCATCCTGAAGCAGTACAGGGTACAGTGAATTCTCAAGATGAAGCAGTCATTCATGCATCTCGCTCGAAGCTAGCGCTCTCCCCATATGTGCTTCTTTGATTCAACCAATCAGACGCCACTCGCTCACCAAGACATGCATACGGTGCCGTCAGGGGCATCAAGGATTACAGAACGCACCACAACACAATGACCTGAGTGTAACGACAACGACAAACATCAACCGTTTTTGCAACAGCATTGTTTGTCATTTTTCATTGCATGTTTTTAGACATGGTTAAGCAGCATGTGGCTCATTAGAACAATTCAACTTCAATAAGTCCTCAATCCAACATTTTTTACGGCAAGCCTGACACGAGACAGGCTCCATGATGTTGTTGCATCTGTCCATGTGTCTCTGTCTTAACCCCCATACCCTTCCCTCTTCTTACACCCTCATTCACCCCCTTCACACACACACACACACACACACACACACACACACACACACACACACACACTTCCTATCATCTCTCCATCAGGGCGGCCTGCTCATCAAACCTCGTTGCAAGCCGTTCCCGGACGCCACCCAGGTGTCTGACTGTGCGGTACGTCCCGGCCACTGTCAGGCGAGGGGTCTGGGGTGGGGCCAGGGAGTGGGTCTGTTAACTCCCACTTCGCCCTTACCTCGACACTCTGCTTGCCAGTCTCATCAGACTTTCCTTATGCGCTTATGGGTTGGCTGGCGGTCAAATTGTAACGAGAACCTCCTGGTTTACTTAATTGGTTGCCTCGACAAAGGTTTAATCGAACCTTTGAACTGCTGAGCTCCTCTCTTGATTTTCCTGGCTGCTTGCTGGTTGTGATTCACTCCCAGTTTCTCTTGATTTCCTGCAGCGTTAACTCCCGCTTGGACTTGTTATTCTTCCCCTATTGCTTGTATGCTTTGATTTGTTATATTTACTTTGAAGGAGTCAATCATGAGTCAAACGTGGATTAAAAGTCAATAGTCAGCAGTCATGCGGAGCTCCCCAGGGCGCATGGTCGAGGCACCCACTGGTTCGATGAAGTTTCTTTTCCCTTTTGGTCCCGGCTAACAAGTGGTGTCACCAAGAGACGAGCCCCGCGACTGAACCGGCCATCGAAGTCACAACGGGAGTTGACTTTGCCGCAAAAGCACCATCGGGGAGGAAGGATTAGGGAGGTGTTGTAAAAACGCCAGATTGAAAGTCAGGCGTGAAGTGCAGGAACGCCACAAGGGGCGATGGAAAAGTTCATGTTTTTATGCCTTTGTGTCAAAAGGATGGTCTTATCTTTTCACCATGGTAACCACTACCCAGGAGCCGTCATCTACTAGACTCCTGGATTTGTTCAGCAAAGGTCCTGAAAGGACAGAGGGTAGGCTGTTAAAGTTAAAAGCAAATTCCCGTCATGATTTGATTGGATTTTCCCTGATGGAGGCAGTACTTCATACACTTTTGATTAAACATTATAGTATGTGCCAGACGCAGTGTACACTCACTTCAACTCAATTTTGGTTTAAAGAGCACTTTAAGAACAACCACAGCGGGGAAAAAAGTACTGTATGTAATATGAATCATACGTAAGATAATTGTCTTCGGGCAGTAGGCGGGGGACAACCTTAACTGGTCACTAGCCGATCACAGAATAGCAAAGTGTTAAAGCAATAAATATAAATAGCACATGAAAGCAAGGCCCATTTAGAAATCCATCCATCCATTCTCTGAACCGCTTTTGAAGACTAAATGAATTCTAGAGTACACAGGCAGCCCATGGTGATTGG